AGCAGAGGGTGACAACTTACAACAGGAGTTCTGGTTAGAAGCTGCGACCAGCAGTGGAGTACACCTTGTTGGGTTTCAGGACATATACACACCGACGATATTTACTGAAAGTGGAGCTATGTATTGTGGATAAGCAGAAGTTCCATTTCATTGAATAGTGACACTAAATCACCTAGAAAACTGAGCAGTTTTCAGGTATTTATTAGTATCCACCGACGAATTCAGATTCATTGAGTCTTAAAGTGAGCATATTTAGGCAACGAATGAGAATTCACTGATCCCCCCCCTGTTTCCTGTTCTCTTAGCAATGAAGATTTCAGGGTTATCAGACAGGTTTCACACAAATCACTCAGCTAAATATCAATTTATACTGTACTCTATTTATTGACACAACCTGGAAGATCTACGGGCAAAAGTAACAAGTTAGAGGCAGATGCAACGAGGGCAGGAATTCAAGTAAACATAGAAAAGACGCATGTGATGAGGATATCTGACCACCATCTTGAACAATAACAACAACAAGCATCACCTCTTTCGCCTATTTTGGCAGTATCCTCCCAAGTGAAGGTCACCATACGGATGAGGATGCCAAGGGCAGCCAGGAACGCAAAGCCAAGTCAGATATTCACTGCACCCAAATCAACGTTGAAGTCTCCTCCAGTCAGCATTAGGAAGAAGATTGAGATTTTTGACAGTGTATTATTATTATTGTTCCCTTGGGTTCCTAGTGGAACATAGGGTTTCAACTACACGTCTCCAGTTGCTTCTGTCTTCTGCTGTACTTTTCACCTGCATTCATGTTAGTCCATACTGTTTCAACTCCTCTTCACACGATCTCACCCACGTCACCCTTGCACGTTCCACTCACCGCTTCCCTTTTGGGTCCCACTCGAGCGATGGCCTGACAAGCGATGTCACCCAGCGGAGGCCTCCTCAGCGACTGTCCAATCCATCTCCACTTTCTCCTGCATATTTGTTGAGCGATTGGTTCTTATTTTGTTTGTTCCCATAGTTTCTTGTTGGTGATTCTTTCCGGCCATCTGATCTTCAGTATAGAGCAAAGACAGTTGTTGATAAAGGTCTGCAACAGGCTGTTGGAAATATTCTTTGTGACCCGCCGACAAGTTTCTGATCCATATAGAAGAACCGACTGACATGACGTTAATACTGAAAATCCGAATCATTTTGTTGTTGATGCTGGGTTGAGTGAGGAAGATTTCCAGATTGGATTCAGGTTGATGAATGTGTTTCTCGCCCTCCCGATTCTCGATTTGACATCTTCGTCCGTTCCTCCTGTAGTTGAGACAATGCTCCATAGATAAGTGAATGAAGAAACCTCTTTCAAATCCCTCCCGTTGATGGTGATTGGCGCTGGATGTTGCTGCTGCTGTTGTTGTTGTTGCTTGTTGGTTATTTTCATAACCTCCGTCTTGTCTATGTTCACCTGGAGTCCTGTCTTCGCCGGCTGCTTCTTCGACCAGTTTGTCAGTTTTTGCTTGTAAGTCTTCTATCTTGTGTGACATCAAACATAAATCCTCCACGCGCGAAATTCAGGTCTTCTAGGTTCTTCACGTCTGTCAAGGCAGGATATCCCTGTCTTCGCGTTTCCCACTGTTTGACGCATAATCCAGTCCACCACAATTAGGAATATCATTGGTGATAATAAGCACCCTTGTCTGACTCCTGTGTTTACTCCAAACGCCTCGCTGACTTTTCCGTTGTGGATCACTTGACATGTGCCGTTGTCGTACAGCTGTTGAATAAGGATGATGAATATTTGGGGTACGCCGTAGTCCTCGAGTAGTTTTCAAATTACTTCGCGGTCAACGCTGTGGAAGGCCTTGTCAAAGTCTATAAAGTTGAGGTAGGGGTTTGATTGCCATTCCATGCTTTGTTCGATGATGATGTGGGTGAAAATCGAAGTTATTTGGACTTATGCTGCGGAGACTTTCGGGTGACGCTCTAGGTCCTTCAGTAGAACATGAATGGGAGACGACAATCTCGACGTGGCTCCAAGGGTGACATGCAGACTATCATGTGACGAGGATTCAGATTCAGATTATAAGAATAGAAGACTCTTGTTGCCTATGCTAATCCTTGCCAAATGTATATCTCTGGAGAGATGCAGTTTCTCTTTGAAAGCGTTCACCGATGCAGCTGTTATCACTCTATCAGGAAAGGAGTTCCACGCGTTGACCATTCTGTAATAGAATCTAAATTCCACACGTATTTTATTCGAACTCGATTTGAGCACCTCCTTGTGGTGATCTCGTAAATGTATCCTAGAGGGAGAGAAAAAGTTTGAAAGCTCAATCCCCTTAAATCACCCTTGAATATACGGTAAGGCAGAATTAAGTCGCCACTCCTCTTTCGTTATGATAATGGGAAGAGATTTAAATACTCCATTCTCTTATCATAAGGAAGGTGTGAGATACCACTAAGTAATTTGGTTCCTAGCCTCTGTACTCTTTCCAGGATATGTGCGCCTCCTTTTTGAAGCATGAACTCACCGCTTGTATGCAGTATTCTTTCTAGATGAGGTCTGACATATGTTGCATAGAGTAGTACTTGGATGTCACAGTCTATGTGATCAATCTTGGAGTCGGGTAAAAAAGACAGCAGAGAATGGGATAAAGTACAGATGGGCTATTTTGCACTTAGAACCCCAAAAGCAAAATAATTAAATAAATAAAGAGTTCATGGGTCTTTGTATTCCACCCAAGAAGGAGGCTGATTGGTTGATGGACTAACCTCGAAATTTGAGAGTAGGTTCATGGGTGCGTACTGCTGACTGAGAAGAAATAGCTCTCGAGTACTCGATGGTTTTCGGTGGTTCTCCAACCGTTATCAGTTCATGACTTTATTTGAAATTAATCGATTCCCAATAATCTAACACTTGAAATTCTGTAGGCATTGTCGATTTTTTCTTTTACTCTTGAAGAGTCCAGAAATAAGACCAAATTGTCTGTCTCTCTGTATTCGACACAGAACTTTGCACATATGTGCGGCAGTTCAAGTCGCCACACTCCATGTAGCACACAAAGAAAGAGAAGAAAGTAGGGGAAATGCATAAGATAGACAGTAAACAGAGGTTAGAGACAAAGGAATAGTAATAACGAAGAACAAACCAGTTTAACCGCTAATCATAAGTCACAAGGAGTGGATGCATCTGCGCCAGCCATTGAGAACGATTTTGAGCCATGTCACCAATTGTTTCCAACCATTGGTTTTTACCATCCCGAGGACCCCAATCAACCAGGAAGTCTACATCTCCCTACTTGGCTTAAACTAACTGTTGTAGATTTCATTGACTGGTGCCATGTTTTCGTTTGACCACTACTGGCTAGCTCTTTTTCAGCCTGACCCTATATCAGCTAACATTGCCCATTGTGGAGGAAGGCGTTGACTAGGCATGCGTAACACATGTCGTAACTATCTCAGTCGGTGTAATTTCACAGTCTCGTTGATTAATTTCCCCTCCTTACCTAGCACTCGACGCCTAACCTTAATATTGCTCACCTTATACCACTTCACACAGGAGATAGAACGCAGACACCTATGATCAAAGACAGCTAATCTCTTTATGTCCTCCACTCTCTCTCTCATAGCCATAAAGGAGGACGGAGCGGACTGGTGAGCAGTACACACTCCCTTTGGTCGATAGCTGGATATCACGTCTACTCCAGAGATGGCGTAAACTGGCATATACGAAACTAGCCCCTCTGTATTCGTGCTGAAATTTCGTCAGAGATCAACCCGTTGGCACTGGCTGATGCAACTTTCCAAATAAGTGAAGCGGTCAACGTGCTCTGCCACTTCACTCCCTATTTCTAAACTAGGAGTCAGTGTAGTTCAGTCCTGTAACATCATCTTACATTTGGTGGGAACGAATGGCGTGCCAAACATTCGTAAATTACAGAGACTGCATTTTGTCAGACCAAACAGATGTTTAAATCTCTCTTAATTTTCAATGGTCCAATAGCTGATATTGATTTGCCTCAACAACAAAAAATTCATACTGAAATTCAAATTTTTCACATTCATTTTCTGTAATGAAAAGGTGCAGTCCAGGGAACATTGTATTTCACATTCCATCAGTTTTGTTTTTTTTTACTTATTTCTGTTGATATTACTACTTCATTTGGACGTACATATACAGGTGTACAGACACAGAAAGAAGGAAAAAGTACATGAATCAACATCTGTTCAATAAAAAAATTTATACATCGCGCTACATTTCATTGCGTTCAATTTTCAATGGAGCATGCAATATTCATGTGAATTTTGATGTGAAAATAAATTTTATTCGACTTTCTGTCTAAATTTTTTTCTCCATCTTTTTTTAAAAAGAAACAATTGAAACAGAAATTACATGAATTGTTAAAAATTAAAGAAGCATTAGAAGATGAGTGTAGCTCACTTCGTAAAGAATTAACGCATATGAAAGAAGCACCAAAAGTTGTAGAATCAAGTGATACTAGTATGAATAATTATGCACTTCGTGAACAAGCTCTTGTAGCTGAGGTGAGTCACTTTTGTACAAGTTAGTGGATAGTGTATACAGTAATGTACTTGGTATGTTTCTATTGAGGATTATTTATGCAGAATATTCTCTTGCTTTGAATACTGTTGGATTGTAGATGCTAGAGATTCTTCTAACCTTGTTTAGCCTTTTCAACCTTGAGTTGTTGTATTGATAAACACATACATAGATCCTACCTACCTTCAGGTGAACATAGAGAAGACAGAGGTGATAAAGATTCCTGGCCAACACAACCAAAAGCAATATCAACAACAGAAAACAATCAGCATAAATGGAAGGAACCCGAAAGAAACAACCTCTTTTACCTACCGACCGACCTGGGAAGCATCGTTTCAACTACAGGCGGACGGAGCCGACGAGGATATCAAAGCAAGAATCGGGAAAGCAAGACAAGCTTTCACTACTCTCAAGTCTGTGTGGAAGTCAACAGCACTCAGCATCAAAAACAAGATCCGGATTTTCAACTGCAATGTGAAGTCAGTCAGTGCTACTATACGGATCAGAGAATTGCACTGCGCGTCATAAAGAGCATCTCAAACAAACTACAGACCTCCATTAACAGTTGTCTTCGATCAATACTTAAGATCAGATGGCCGGCCAGAAAAGATCAGCAACATGGATCTCTGGCAATGAGCGAACCAACACAGCAGGAACCGATTGTGAAACAAATAGGCAGGAAGAAATGGAGATGGATTGGCTGGCCATACTCTGAGGAAACAAGCCATCAAGTGACATCACTAGACAAACCATTGCTCGAGTGGAACCTGGACGAAAGGGAAGCGGCGAGTTGGTCGTCAGTTCGAGTGTGACTTGGAGGAGGTCATGTTGTAACAACAGAAGACAAGGGCCAGGCAACAGATCGTTTATTACGAAAAATCAACACGTATTTATAGATTTTTATGTACATTATTGTAGGTCAATGTTAGTAGAAAATACAGTCTGTTGATTGGTTGTTTCTCACACAAAGTTAACCTTGCATCTCTTTTGGCTGTGTCAGTTCATCTATATGTTAAATGTAACCGCCTGTCCACCTTGACCTTTGACCTCAATTACTGTCAACCAATTTGGCCAGCAACCATCTCTCACCACAACATGACTAATATTTGATACATAAACATTGACCTCAATTACTGTCCACCACTTGGCTAGTAGACAGCTCTCACCACACTCGTCCCCCCGTCAAATAGTTTGGACTGAAGTCGGCTCGGTCCTCTCGGTTCTTGGGACTTTGCTCTGTTGTCTTGCTGTCTGGAATCTCGGCGCTTGCGGATGTCCACTTGTTTAACGGTGTTTACCATTGCGATTTTGTCTGCGTAACCCCATCTCAACGTGACCATATATGGTCCTTCCCATTTTGGAAACTGTTTGCCTGACCCTGTCGCACATTCGTAGGTATTTCGCCTCACACTTCCATATGCTGCTTTCTCCCGACCTCCCGGCAGCGTCCCAAGTAGCAGCCTCATCGCTGACAGATCTTGAACGCCACTCGACTGCGAAGAAGCCTCGAAGTCCTGCGCGAAGATCCATATGTCTCCATCAAAAACTGCAGGGCATAGGCTTTCCATTTGTCGGTAGGCAGCGACACCAAATGTAACAACAGAAGACAAGGGCCAGGCAACAGATCGTTTATTACGAAAAATCAACACGTATTTATAGATTTTTATGTACATTATTGTAGGTCAATGTTAGTAGAAAATACAGTCTGTTGATTGGTTGTTTCTCACACAAAGTTAACCTTGCATCTCTTTTGGCTGTGTCAGTTCATCTATATGTTAAATGTAACCGCCTGTCCACCTTGACCTTTGACCTCAATTACTGTCAACCAATTTGGCCAGCAACCATCTCTCACCACAACATGACTAATATTTGATACATAAACATTGACCTCAATTACTGTCCACCACTTGGCTAGTAGACAGCTCTCACCACAATGTGAAGAGGAGATGAAAACGTGTGGGCCAAATTTGGAGCCAGGTGAAGACTCTAGCAGAGAACCGAAATCAATGGAGATGCACTGCTGAAACCCTATGTCCCTCTAGGAATTAAAGGAAACAATAATAATAATTCGTTTACGTTCCCAATGGAACATAGTGGGCTTCAAGCTAGAGGCTTGGAGTTTCTGTAGCAGGTGTTTGTTTAATTTTACGGGATCGAGTTGCTAGCCTCATGCCCAGCCTTCCCTCTTTGCCAGTCTTATTATTGGCTTAGCGAGGTAGAGGTGTGCGTCAGCTGGAGATCGAACCCTGAACCATAGTGCCACCGACGCACCAATAGTTGCGTTATAACAGTATAACGAAAACATCTCCTCTAATCTATTGAGACATAGTAAAAAATGGTAAAGCTGCTCTAGTTTTGGTGGAAATGTTCTCGGGCACTGTTACCTCCATTCTGATATCACCTTCTTCTCAAATATTTCATTTCATGGATCTGTTTACATGATATGTTAGCATTCTATTTTCCTCCCTCCTGTTAATTTCACAATTTGGAACAATATATATCAATATCTGTCGAAAATGCATTCTTTTGGATATCACTACGCAACTTGTGAGCAGAGTCGAAGTCATAAAATGTTAAAGTTACTAAAGTTGTATGCAAAATGTGGGCGATGCTAAAATTTTGATAGTTATTTTTTAAAGATATCATTGATGAACTCATTCTTCACTGTAATCAGCGAGACAGAATGACGTGGGTTGATGAAGGCTGTAAAAATGCAAAACTCCTTCAGGAACAGGCTGAATTCAGAAGAGGTAAACCATGTGCGGATCAAATCACAAAGTTATGCACGCAGTATAGAGTGCAGGTAAATTCTACACATCAGCTATATCGACTATATAACGGTATTAAACAGCGCTGACTGTGAAATAATTCAGAAGCTACTTCAACACTATGCAGTCCCAAAGATGTGAACCTACATTTTTACAATGATAGTGAGTAATTGATTGGGGGCGAGAGCAACATTGGTCAGAAATAATTTAACTTGTTGAATAATTAAGAGTGAAAAGGGTCAACCATTTGTAGAAGAATTGCACAACTAAGCTTGGAAACAAATGGACAAAGTTCATTACTTGTTTCGTGGGTAGAAATAAAGTTTAACTAGAAAGAGTATCGGAAGTAATGAGTTACGTAACCACAGAAAGACATGTTTCTATAAAACAGGCAAAAAGGGGAGGCGTAGGATGAGTTATGTTTAGCTGAAAAATATCCAAGTTTTCTAAACAGGACAGGAGATGACGCAATGAAATTTCTGTACCAAGGGAATGCAAAATTCACCACTTTCTGTTTTTGCGTACATAGATTTGGTTTTAGCCGTTTGGACTGCGATTGCCTCAGCAAAACGAAGCAGGCTAGGTTTTGTTTGTCTTTGAGTAAAGCGAGAACAACAGTCTTCGCAGAATAAAGTGGTACCATCATTTAATTCGTTGGGATCTCATCAGCTGCTTACGGGCCAAAGTCATTATTAAATATATCTACAGAAACAATTTTTAACATACTTGCACAGTGTTCATTTTAAACAAAAATCAATCGATCAGTATACGCATACACTAATAATATATACATATATATATGCAATATTAAACACAATTCCGAACAATAGTGATCATACACAATGGAAACTTTTCAGCATCTCGCATTCAGATGAAATAAAGGAGGAAATATCCAGTTACCAGGGCAAAGAAAGACTGATAACTGTTTCTTTCTGAACGCACAAATCAGGTTTCAGGCGCTTGATGGAAATAGCTTCAGCAAACTTGAGAAGAATTGAGCTCTTCTGCCTTTCGACTATTTTGAACAATTTTGCGATGTCCACCTTATGACCTGTGTCATGGAGATGTCTGGCGATGGCACTGTTTAAAGCATTTGTCCCCTTTCGACATAGGCTATTTGGTACATGTTCAGAAAATCGTAGATATGCCCTTCTTTCTGTTCTTTCAATGTGACTAATCCCAATGATACACGTAAATTTGTATACACAGTTGAAGTTAACTTGAGAAGGGCATCTGTCGACTTTTCACTGCACTAAAGAGCAGGTTGTTTGATAGACGGGAACGAGCTTAGCTGCAGGATAGGCTCTCAGTCTTCTGTTGACCACTGCTGCAATGTTTTCACCTTTATAATCAAGTTGATTTGTTTTACATTTGAGACTTCAGATCTTCCATACTTGTTGATGAACCTTTCAGCGTAACCACTGCTCCTCAACATCTTTTCAAGAAACATAAATTCTTACTCTAATTTCTCTATAGAGCATATTCCCCTCGCTCTATAGTACAGAGTCTTGACTAGACCACGTTTAAAGCTATTTGGACAAAAGCTATTAAAATGTAGGTATTGTTCTTTTCACTTAGGCTTTCGATAAATTGACTTCTGAAGACTACCGTCTTCTAGGCGTTGCATGGCGATGTCGACGAAGTGGAAGTTTCCATCACTTTCATGCTCCATAGTAAACTCAACATTGGCGTGTGCATCATTGGATAATCTGAGTAGGTAGGAAGCATGACTTTCATTGTTGCACACTACAAATGTATCATTGACATATCGACAGTACGAAGTTGTTTCGTCGATTGCATGCTTCAACTTTGTTCTTTCAAGGTTGAACATGAATATATCTGCTAAAACAGGGCTAATTGGATTGCCCATAGCTACAACATCTATTTGGCTGTAAAGACTGTTGTCTATTCGGGATTGCACATCTATGGTACACATCAGGAGTAGGCGTTTGAACTCCGATTCTGGGAGTGGGAGAAGATCAGACTGCTGACAAATGATCTCAATAGTTTCGTTGATTGGAATCATTGTGTGAACAAGGAGGTTGCATCAAATGACACAATGAACTTATTTAAAACGTTCATGTAGTTCACACTTTTGGCAAAAAATGAAATGAGTCTTTCATAGTGTGCATGGCTAGCTGTTGACGAACTGGGTTCCAACTTCTCCACAAGCCAACGTGCCACCTTATGTTGGGGCGAGTTGATCATCGAAAGTATAGGTCTTAGGGGAACTTGTTTTTGTTTACCTTCGGAAGGCCATATATGTGTGGCAAGCGGGACCCTCGGGGTTTCAAATCATTGTACGTATTGTTGTCAGCCAATTTATTCTTTATGTATGTATGTATAAATGTAGGAAATTTCTTTTGGCTGTTGAGTGACTTCAAGTTATCCACAATATGGTCAGTATCTATTAGATGGCGTGCAGTCGCATTGTACAGATAACACTAAACAGATTTGTAAATGTTACTCTCTCTCTCTGTCTCTCTTTTGTTTAGATTGTTCGCTTACGACGTGATTTGAACCGTCTACATGAAGCTGCAGAATCACGAATCCAATGTTTAAAAAATAGACTGAATGCATTCACTGAAGAGTCATTCAATCGACGTACACTAGAAATGAAAGTATCACAGTTGCATACTGCTGCATTGAAATATGCAAATCAACTTGCTGAATTGACACCAATCAATAAATCACATGGATGTGATGAGGTAAGGAGTACATGTATATATATATATATATATATATATATATATAAACTTAATTTTTTAGTATATTTATGCGTTGAAGTTTCTGTAGCAAGCTGGATTCAGAAAAGGCAAATCATGTTCTGACCAAATTGCAACTCTACGCATTATCATCGAACAAAGCATGGAATGGCAATCAAATCTCTACCTCAACTTTATAGACTTTGACAAGGCCTTCGATAGACAGCCTTGACCGCGAAGTAATTTGGAAACTACTCGAGTACTACGGCGTACCCCAAATATTCATCAACCTTATTCAACAGCTGTACCACAACCGCACATGTCAAGTGATCCACAACGGAAAACTCAGTGAGGCGTTTGGAGTAAACACAGGAGTCAAACAAGGGTACTTATTATCACCAATTATATTCCTAATTGTGATGGACTGGATTATGCGTCAAACAGTGGGAAACGAGAAGACAGGGATATCCTGCCTTGACAGACGTGAAGAACCTAGAAGACCTGAATTTCGCGTGTGGATGATTTATGTTTGATGTCACACAAAATCGAAGACTTACAAGCAAAAACCGACAAACTAGTCGAAGAATCAGCAAAGACAGGACTCCATGTGACACAGAGACAAGACGGAGGTTATGAAAATAACCAACCAACCAACAACAACAACAACAACAACAGCAATAACTAGCGCCAATCGCCATCAACAGGAGGGATTTGAAAGAGGTGACTTCATTCACTTATCCATGGAGCATTGTCTCAACTACAGCAGGAACCGACGAGGATGGCAAATCGACAATCGCGAAGGCGAGAAACACATTCATCAACCTGAAACCAATCTGGAAGTCTCCGTCACTCAGCATCAACAATAAAATTCGGATTTTCTGTATTAAACGTCAAGTCAGTTCTTCTAAACGGATCAAAAACTTGGCAGTTCACAAAGAATATTTCCAACAGCCTGTTGCAGACCTTTGTCAACAACTGTCTTCGCTGGCTCTATACTGAATATCAGATGGCTGGAAAGAATCACCAACAAGAAACTGTGGGAACAAACAAAGCAACAACCAATCGCCCAACAAATATGCAGGAGAAAGTGGAGATGGATTGGACACTCGCTGAGTAGGCCGCTGGGTGACATCGAGCGTCAGGCAATTGCTCAAATGGAACCCGAAAGGGAAGTGGCGAGTGGTTCGTCGGTGCAAGAGTGATATGGAGGAGATCGTGTGAAGGACAGTTGGAACAGTATGGACTAACATGGATGCAAGTGAAAAGTACAGCAGAAGAGAGAAGCAAGTGGAGATGTGCAGTTGAAGCTCTATGTTCCACTAGGAACCCAAGGGAACAATAATAATAATAAGACTTGTTTTGTACTTTGAAAATTATCTGGACTATGTAGCTATGGACCTAATGGTACACTTTTTTTTAAGTCTCCTATGTTATTATTATTATCAAACAGAACCATAGATTACAGCAACGAGCACTGAATCACTCACTGTGTGATAGGTAAAATAAACATAACTAATATAGAAGCTTCGATGACCAAAACTAACTCATTGTGGCTTGAACACTGTGAGCCGATAATTGCATCCTACCAAAACAGCTATCTTAACCTTCCTTGAGACAGGCACAGTCGAAAAACGCTGCAATAACAGTTGGAAGACGGTTATTCTTCGATAGAGCTATGGTTGATTCCCAATATTGCCAAGAGGTAGGATCAGGAACTCAGTCTACATGAATCACACAACAACACTTCTTCCACACATAGTCTAAGGTCAGAATGGTCCTTATCCACTCAAACAAAGCAATATCATAAAACAACTTATTATTAAAAAAACGGTTGCAGTGAACAGCAAAATTTTCTTTTCGAGGAAGTCATCAAATAGGCTGTACATTCGTATATTTATAATCAATGGGTGGGAAAGTTCCAGAATAATTTCTGGTTAAGGGTCAGAATTAATAAAATTACAGTTAGGAATTAAAATGCCATCATAAACAGGCGGATGAATAAAGCTCAGACATAGAAGCATCAGAATTATTGAGAAGATTGACGTATTGTGCAATTAGGGGTTAGAAATGTAGAAATAACAAAAATAGACAGGATGTTTGGATAAAAAATCTAGTGTGACCATAACTAATGTCACGAATAATTGTTTATGCAATTAGAGATTAAATATGTAGAAATAATAAAATGACGAAATAGACAGGAAGTTCGGATATGAAAATATGGTAGTGTAAACAGGGATTAAGAAAATCTGAAAAATAACATGAATAAACAGGAAGTTTGGATAAGGAAGGCGGTGGGATAGTCACTGTTGAACGAATTACCTGTTTATGATGACCATGGCAGGGACAGGAGTTGGACGTATTTCTTTTGGATATAAAGCGTGGGGCTGAGCTTTTGGATAGCTAGTGCCTCGGCTATGCCCTGATGTGTTAAATTTTACTCCCTTTGATAGGTTTGATCAAATCTAGTGTATGATTTTGAAGGATTTTTCGAATGGCGCTGAATGTCCTGAATTGACCAGATGTTTTGTCACTGAGCCATACACACGTTTTCGTTCTCCTTTTACTAGTCAGGCTGGATAGTGTTCATGAGCGCGTTTTTCAAGTTGGCTCATACTACGACCAATGTACTCAGCTCCACACGAGCAAGTAAACTGGTATATACACGTTGAAGTGGCCCAATGAGACATCTTGTCTTTCGCTTTCTGGCTGAACAGTTTCTTGCAGGAAAGCTTCAGTCGTAGGCTTGTGGCCAGGTATGTTTTCCTCAGAGATTTGCAGAGGCGTTTACGAAGGATTTCTGCTTCAATATCACCTCTGAATTCTAGTATCTTCTTTGGGACGGATTGAACTTCTTCGGAAGTTTTCTTTGATTTGAGATTCTTGTCTGTGAGCCTAGGCGGAAAACCGTTTATCATCAGGGTTACAACGAAGAAGTGATTGAGGAAGAGCTGCGTAATCTCCGAGGTACGCCGATGGAGTTTTATCTGTCCCCCCTGTTTATTATGACATTTTAATTCCTAACTGTAATTTTATTTACTTGACCATTGACCGGAGATCATTCTGGAACTTTCTCACCCATTTATCATAAATACACGAATGTGCAACCTAGTTGACGCTGACTTCGTCGAAACGAAAATTTTCTTCTTCACTGCAACCATCTTTTTAATAATTCCTATGTTTCAATGTGTATTTTCCGTGATTTGAAGAGAAGCAAGGATGGTAAAGGAACTGAAGAAGACTCTACGTTTGTTCGTCAAGCTTGCTGAGGCGAATGCAAAGATTTTCTTCTCGAACAAATTACCAGTGAAACATGCTTCAACCACAAACAGAAGCATTACAATTTGTGATTGAATAGGAACAAAGACAAACAGGGATTAAGTCAACATGTTATATGCAAAATGTCAGAACAATGATACACAGTCTAGAAGAAAAAAACGGATAATTATTCCAAAGATAGGTGAAACATCGAAATAAACAGACACATTGTAATTAGGCAGTTCAAGAAGGATTTTCCAAACACTTATTCCGTTCAGAGATAAAAAACAACACTGAACGATACAATTAAACAAAATTATGTCAAGTCTTTTACTGTGGAGAAAAGCAAAACAAGCTGTCACTACTCTCAAATCTGTGTGGAGGTCAACAGCACTCAGAATCAAAAATAACATCCGGATTTTCAACTCCAGTGTGAAGTCAGTCAGCGCTACTCACTATACGCATCAGAGACTTGCACTGCGTGTCATGAAGAGCATCTCAAACAAACAAACTACAGACCTTCATTAACAGTTGTCTTCGCTCAATACTCAAGATCAGATGGCCGGCCAGAAAAGATCAGCAACAGAGATCTCTGGCAATGAGTGAACCAACACAGCAGGAACCGATTGTGAAACAAATAGGCAGGAAGAAATGGAGATGGATTGGCTGGCCATACTCTGAGGAAACAAGCCATCAAGTGACATCACTAGACAAGCCATTGCTCGATTGGAACCCTAAAGGGAAGCGACGAGTTGGTCGTCAGTGCAAGGGTGACTTGGAGGAGGTCATGTGAAGAGGAGGTGAAAACGTGTGGGCCGACTTGGAGCCAGGTGAAGACTCTAGCAGAGAACCGAACGCAATGGAGATGCACGGCTGAAGCCCTATGTTCCTCTAGGAGTTAAAGGAAACAATAATAATAATTTTACTTTGGAGAGTGTCTGTGTGTAATTCATTTGAATGTAAAGGACTGGTTTTTGGTCCTCAATAGACATTGATCCAGCTATCTGTAGACTGCCTTCCTGAAGTCGTTTTGTACGGTAATACAGGACTCGGTGTATCAATGTGAAACATTCATAAAGGGGTGTGTCTGATTCCTGGAGTTGATGCATTTTGCTCTCTCTCTCTGTATTATTTTTTCTCTCTTTGTCTTCATTCAATTCATCCAATTTTTTTTCAATTATAAAATCAGTTATTTTAAGTTTGTTTCCATGCTCCTCCTGATCACACTTGTAATCCATTTAGAATAACCATTTTACAATTATATTCTAATCCTGTGTAATTTTTTGTTTCTATGCCTATTGTAATTTATATTCACACCTCCTCCTAACTTACATTTCAAGTTGAAAATTTTGACTTCAATTTGTTTCCATGCTCATTTTGTTCACACCTGTAAGTTGTTCTATCCCCGCTTAACTTTTGTTTCTAAGCGTCTTGTAATTCATATCAAGTTGAAAATAACTATCACCTTTTATTCGCCTTTAAAATTATTTCTGCAGTTATCAAATATTAATTTTGCACATGTTGTAACTGTTTTCTAATCCTATGTAATCTTGTCTCTAGGGTCCTTGTAATCTATATTCGTACCTTCAAACTTTCATATCAAGTTGAAAATTATTATCTTCTTCGTCACTATGTGGAATCCACGTAAACTAATGTATATGAATGCGACTGTACAACTTTTGAGAATGAAATCGCCGAAAAGATAGATATCTTTGCTGAACTTCGTGTTCTCTTTTTTTCCCTCTAATGTCCCGATGTGTATTTTCAACAATTTGAAAAGAAATGACTATTCGCTAACTTTAGCATTGACTGAAGTCGGTTCTAGTCTTGCAGTTGCTAATGAACGAGGGATAATAATAATTATTATTGTTTCCTGTAGTTCCTAGTGAAACACAGGGATTCAGCCGCACGTCTCCATTGCGTTCGGTTCTCTGACAACGTTTTGCTCACCTAGCTCCACGTCTACCCACATGCTTTCATCTCCTGTTCACATGACCTCCACCTTGTCACCCTGGCACTGACGACCAACACGCCGCTTCCCGTTCGGGTTCCACTGGAGCAATGGCCTGGCGTGTGATGTCACTCATTTGATGACTGGTTTTCTCAGAGTATGACACAAAACGTAGATCTATTGCTTCTTACTGCCTTACTACTAACGTCTCATACAGCTGGAAATGTAAACTCCTGTAGAGTAGTCAGCATTATTCATCAGAGATAGTGCTGTTTTGCTGTCCCTAACTATCAGATTGACATATTTCATGATAATATCCATTCACTTGAGAATCATTGAATTTCATGTACGATATCAGATTGTGTCATTTTAAGCCTCCGGCGTCAAACATCACAACGGTTCCTTAGAAGATTCTCATCATGTACGTAGAATTCAAAGGTGATGTCGCAGCGGGAATTCTCAGAAACCACCTTTCCAAATGTCTGAAGAAGACTTTTTCAGCAACCACGCTACGTGTCACATTCTCCTGCAGACAGTTAATCCAGTCTAATGCTAAGGACAGGATACCGCTTTTAGCCACCTCAGTGTGTATTTATCAGTCTACTTGCTCGTATGGAGCAAAGTATATTGGCCGTACGCAACGTCAAGTCTACAGATGTATTCTGGAACACTGGCCAGCTTGGTTAGCCAGCCAGAGGAGAAAAGAAGAATAACAGCAGCTGTATTATCGAAAACCTGGTCATCTCCGGACATCGAGCACCCCCGCTTGCATGAATGCTTCACAGTGCTACACAGAGTCCCTCAATATCGTACAAATGGACTTCGGATACGCCATCTGTACATAGCTGAAGCATTAGCTATTCGTGATGTGAAGCCGGACCTCTGCATCCAAAAGCGACACATACATTCTCTTGCCCTACCATGGCCACAGTAAAGTTCTTAACACAAGTTTGCTTCTTTCCTTTATTATGTAAGTTCTCTATTATTACTATTATTTTATTTTATTAATACTTTTTTATTATCATTATTGTTCCCATCATCCAAATTTTATTACCACTCTATTACTGTTCATTAATAACATTGCTTTTCATACAGATTTTATATAAAAACACTTTACAGCCTTTCCACTAGTTCCTGTCCATTTTACACGAGCTTATTGATGAGTCATTATCTCATATTTATTACGTCATGCCAACTTCTCTCTCCTTTCTAACTTACAATTAGTCATCCCTTCTTACACCTTACATTATGTAATACAATTTTCCAAGGACAAAATTTACCAGTATCTGATTGGTCTAAGTATTTCTTTGTTAATTATAATTACGATTGTACAACAGCTCATGAAAATGAATCGTCGAAAAGAAAATTTTCTTTGCTGTTTTTGTCTCTTTCTTATGACTCAATTGATTTTTGACCCGGTATGTAAAGTAGATCCCGAATTACATCAATTATTCAAGCACTACATTAGTTAAAATTAGGGCTTTAAATATTGAGTTACTTAAAATTTTGCATTCATCTTTCTTTGTAGACTATGACACATAATGGAGTCTTCTTGTCAGCTTTACCACCGCCATTGTCTATTTTAACGAAAGTTACTCCACATCGTAGCAGTTTGGAATTGGGAATTTCAACGGGGATTAATTTACCGCCTATTGTACGTTCTGGTTACTAATAGATAAGAAATAGTCTCAGTATAAATGATGATAAAAGATTACATTTAAATATTATATATAATATAAGTTTATTTTCTCATATTTGTTGACTTTTTACTGTCTAAATGCTTTTTTACGTGTACTGCTCATAACATTGTCTGACGAAAAAAAATCAAAGTTTCATATAACTCCTTTCAGTCAGAAAATTCACTTGGATTACGAAAACTCTGGAATGAACTTACTTTATTTAGCTGACAGGAAATTACTGAACGTGCTTAATAATAATAATAATAATAATAATAATAATAATAATTCCCTTGGCTTCAGAGTGGGACAGTGGGTTTCAACAACACATTTGCTCTTTGTTTTATATTCTGATGTCCTCTTCATCTGGATACCTCCACGATTGCCCATCACCTCACATTTTCTCCTACCAACGCGATCTCCTAAATGTCACCCTCGCACTGACTAACCCCCTCGTCGCTTCGTATTCAGATTCCACTGGAGCGACTGCCTGTGTTGCGCGCGATGTCATTCGACGATCTCCTCAGTGGCATGTACCCAATCCATCTCCATTTTCGCCTACATATTTGTGGAGCAACCGGCTTTGTCTGTTGGTTTGTTCCACTAAAGAGTTTCTTGTTGATGATTCTTTCAAGCATTTTAGCCTTCAGTATGTAACGTAGGCAGCTGTTGATAAAATGTCTACAGCAGGTTAATGGAAATCCTTTCCGTGATGAGCACGTCAGGTTTCTGACCCATACAGAAGAACTGACTGACTGAATGACTGACTTCACATTGGTGTTGAAAATCCGAATCTCGCTCTTCACGCTGGCTGAGTGCAGAAGATTTCCAAACCGATTTGAGACTGATGAAGACGAATGTGGCCTTTGCGGTTATGGCTGACTGGTTTTGACATGTTTATCCCTTCCAACTGTCTGTTGTTGAGACAATGAAGCCTAGCCAGATTAGTGAAGTCAGGAATTGACCTCTGCCAAATCTCTCCCGTTGATGATTGGTGATAGATGCAGGTTGTTGTTGCTGTCAGTTGGTTGGTTGGTTATCTTCATCGCCTACCCCCGTCTTCTCTATCTTCACCTGGATGATTCTCTTCTTCGTTGCCAGCCAGCTTCTTCTGCCAGTTTATTAGTTTTCACCGGGCTTACAAGTCTTCCAGTTTGTGTGATATCAGACATATATCATACAAATGCGAAATCCTGATCTTCTAGAGTCTTCTTATTGGTCAGTCCAACGTATTATTGTCTTCTTACTCCCAACGCATAGTCTGACGCATAATTCAGTCCACAACAATTAAGAGTATCATCCGTAATAATAGGCAACCAGCCAGCATTGTCTTACTCTTGGCTGGCTGGCAACGAAGAAGAGAATCATACAGGTGAAGATAGAGAAGACAGGGTAGGTGATGAGGATAATCAACTAACCAACCAACTGACAGCAACAACAACCTGCACCCACCATCAACGGGAGAGATTTGACAGAGCTGAATTCCTGACTTCACTAATCTGGCTAGGCTTCATTGTCTCAACAACAGACAGTTGGAAGGGATAAACATATCAAAACCAGTCAGCCATTACCGCAAAGGCGAGATTCGTCTTCATTAATCTGAAATCGGATTGGAAATCTTCTACACTCAGGCGGCGTGAAGAGCGAGATTCGAATATTCAACACCAATGTGAAGTCAGTCAGTCAGTCAGTCAGTTCTTCTATGCGAGTCAAAAACCTGAAGCGCGCGTCACGGGAATAATTTCCAACAGCCTACTGCAGACAGTTTCTCACTTTGCTGGCTCCACACTGAAAATCGAATGATCGCTTAGCCAGAAAGAACTAGCTACAGGAAACTCTGATTGGGAAAAACCAACAGACAAGAGCTGGTTACTCACCAAATATGTAGGTGAAAATGGAGATGGATTGGCTACACGCCACTGAGGAGAAGGTCGAATTAAATCGCACTCACTGCAGGCCATCACTTGAGTGGAATCCTCATGGGAAACGACAAGTGTGTGACCCAAGAGTGACACTGAGTAGATTGTGTGGCGAAGAGGAGGTGAGAGACTGGGGAATCGTGGAGCTATCGATCTGAAGAGGAGAGCATCACATAGAACAAAGTTTACATATATTGTTGAAGCCGCATATTCCACTAGGAACTCAAGGGAATGATAATATGTGATAATATAGAGAGTGTATCATAAACATATTGACATAAAAATTTCCAGATGTTTGTATACTACTTATTTGGAATTATAAGGAATAATATGATCTTCTCTGCTATGTATATCTTTTCACTTATCTGATTCCCTAATAAATCTTTTCTGCTACATTTGAAATCCCCAGTCAGTCAAATGAACTTCTATGTCAGATATGCCAATGAAATATTATTAGAAACGGTATAATTGCAAAGTACATCTGCAGAAAAGACACCTGGAGGGCAAATTATCTGAGCTGCAAAAGCTTCTTCTGTATAAGCACAAAGTGACTTTGTGCTAAATATGGCGCTGAAGATGTTGTCCAGAAGGACGACGAAAGCTTCGCAACTAAACCAACCAGCTCAGAGAACACTATTAATTGCAAATCATCCACCTGAGCTACAAATCTTCTCTATTATTTCAATATAAAGGATTCGATCAAACCTATCAAAGGGAGTAAAATTAGGAAATCTGGACGTAGCCGAGGGACTAGCCATCCAAAAGCTCAAACACACGATATGTATCCAAAAGAAATACGTCGAACCCTTGTTCCTGCCATGGCCATCATAAACAGGCGATTCTTTTAGTGATGACCATCCCATTGACTTTCTTATCCAAACTTCCTGTTTGCTCATTTTATTTTTAATATTTTCTTAATCACTATTTACGCTACCATATTTACATATCCGAAATTCCTGTCTATTTCGTCATTTAAGTATTTCTACATATTTAATCTCTAACTGCATAAACATTTATTTCGTGACATCAGTTATGGTCACACTAGATTTTTTCTTATCCAAACATCCTGTCTATTTTTCTTGTTATTTCTACATTTCTAACCCCTAATTGCACAATATGTCAGTCAATCTTCTCAGTGATTCTGATGCTTCTTTGTCTGAGCTTTATTCATCCGCGTGTTTATGATGGCATTTTAATTCTTAATTGTAATTCTATTATTCTCACCCTTCATCAGAAGTTATTCTGGAACTTTCCCATCCATTTATCATAAATACACGAATGTACAGCCTAGTTGACGGTGACTTCATCGAAAAGAAAATTTTCTTCTTCACTGCAACTGTCTTTTTATTCCCCATGATCAGCATTATCAATAAACACTAGTAGAGTGATAATAAAATAAGGATCATCAGGATAACAACAATAATGGTAAACTAGCATAATATAAGGAAGCAAAATTTTAGTAAGAACGTTATTCTGGCCACGGTAGCGCGAGAGAATGTTTATATCACTCTTGAATTCAGAGGTCCGGTTTCACATCCTGAATAGCTAATGCTTCAGCTGTATACAGATGGCGTATCCGAAGTTTCTTTGTACGATATTGAGGGACTTTGTGTAGCACTGTGATGCATTCATGCAAGCAGGGGTGCTCGATGTCCGGAGATGACACGGTGTTCGAGGATATAGCTGCTGTTATTCTTCTTTTCTCCTCTGGTTGGCTAATTAAGCTGGACAGTGTTCGAGAATACATTTTTGGACTTGAAGTTGCGTACGGCCACTATCCCTTGTTCCATACGAGCAAATTAATTGATAAATACACATTGAGGTGGCCAAAAGCGGTATCTTGCCCTTAACGTTAGACTGGATAAATTGTCTGCTGGGGAACGTGATACGTAGGGTAGCTGTTGGAAACGTCTTCTTCCGACATTTAGAACGGCGGTTTCTAAGAACTTCTGCTGAGATATCACCTTTGAATTCTAGGTTCATGAAGTGAGTTTTCTGAGGAACAGTTGCGATGTTTAGCAACGGAGGCTTCTCTATCCGAAGATTCTCTGAGCAGATTTTTCGTATCCTTGAACATAATGTACCTACTAGGTTTCGCTTTCGGATCAGTGGACGTTGATGAACTGTTCCGTCCTTGTTCGCCTGTGATATATTGATCTTTGGATAGTACAGTCTTGTCTTCTGTTAAGTGGTACTTCCAGGAATAGAAATACCATTTTTGATTCATGTCTGTAGGTGAATTTTATTGACAGCTGTGCCACGTTATAGGTTTTGAGGAAATACTTTAAGTCAACGTTTTCACTACAGATTATGAACGTATCATCTACGTATCTCTTATAAAGGTGCAGTTGACTGATCAAATGTTCGAAGATGTTGTTTTTTGAGACTTGCCATGAAGCAACCGGCTAGGAGTGGAGTGAGAAGAGACTCCGTACCCACACCATCTTTCTGTACACAGAATTGTTCACTGAATTTGAATTGGATATTACAGGTGCATCTGAGAAGTAGTTCCTTCAGGTAGTTGATGGGTAGAGGAACTTCTAGGTTGTTGTTTTTGATGTAGTCGCAAATGAAGCATATTGTCCCGGTCGGTGGAGTGCTCGTGAATAGAGAGATGACATGTAATGAAAGCGTTTGTCTTTCAAACACACTCATGTCTTTCACTTAATCAATAAATTCAGATGTTTCACTAAGGCTATGCTTTGTCATATCTCTTCTTACCGGTTCAAGGATATCTGCTAGCCACTTCGTGATCTTATGTTATGGTGAGTTGATCATGTTTATGATAGGTCGAATTCTTTGTTAAATATAATTACGACCGTATAGCTTATGAAAATGAATCATCAAAAAGAAAATGTTCTTGTCTGTTTACGTCTTAACAATTAAGCAATTTAAATTATTCTGGACTTATTTATATTTCCTACTAATTACTACTTGTCATCTACCTCATCCAACAGTTGTAAGATAATGCTGCATGCCAGGTTATCCATAATGTGAAACTCAAGGAATTCTTCGAAGTGAAGACGAAAGTAAGACAAGGCTAGCTGGCTGCCTACTATCTCCAATGATTTTCTTGATTGATGGTGGTAGACTGGATAATGTGACAGACAGCGGGCAGCAAGGAGATAGGCATAAAATGAACCCACACAAAA